ATGACGAGGGCCTTACCAGTGCTGTTCGTCAAGGGGGGTTGTTTACCCATACTTCACCACGGTTCATCAGTGCGCCGGGTTGGCAAACGTTGGGGACCAGGAACAGACTCAGACTGCACTTGCCACCACTGACGTTACAGCCAAGTCACCGGGCATCGGAGCGCAGTGCTGCTAACTCTCCGCCACTTCTCCAAGTGCCGTTTAGCGAGCGCCTATCAAAATCTTGGACGCCGAACGAGCGGGATGGTGGTGACCTGGCCGCCCCTTATCTCCCCCAGCGCTGGTGTTCACACACGACCACCGAGAACTTGTTTAAGGCCCGGGGGTACTTGAGTCCGTGGCGAGGCAAAGCACCGGATCAAGGCATGGCACTCCACCGTCGCCGACCGTGGCTGTGGAATCGAACTCAGGTCCCCGGAATGCGCAGCGCACCGGCTAATAGTCGCGCTACTGCTGGTTACCTGCCCCCCCCCCCCCACCAATTGGTTTTCAAAAGTAATTAATTAAAGTAGTCAATTAAAACAACCTCACTGAACACAGAGATCATCACCGCACGTCCTTGTTCCTTATTTACACCACACAAGCGCGTGGAGTGAATGAGAAGGGGGGCGGGTTCAAATAGTTTGTCTTTGCTGCCTCCGAGCGAGGGGACCATCTGTATCCAAAGGCTGCTGCATCTGTGCGGCGCGTTCATTGCCGTCGCGATCGTACCAGTGGTGGATTTTCTATTGGTGCTACAGCTCCCACCCCCCCGGGCAGGAAGCTAAACACTCCCCGCACCTCCGATAAGCACGGTTGGCTTCGTACGGTGCGAAAGAAGTTCAACGTACCTGCGTGCGTACTACGGTCACGGAAATGCTCAAAGTTAGATGTGTGACACTCACGAACAACTCGAGGGTGCAAGATGGGCGAGGGAAGGAAGGAAAGGGTTCAGGTTAATCAGCTCATCTGTGCGGGGCACTTTGAGCGTTATCCCCTTGCATGCGTGGGTCTTCTGTGGTACTCCAGATTCCTGCCACAGGAAAATACTCATTTTATGGAATTGGCCCAACGTCCTAGTGTAGCCGGATCCTCTCTCTCTCTCTCTCTCCGACTTGTTTTCTTGTTGTACCACGTGTTGTTCGGCACAGTGTCCAACGTTTCGCACTGCATACGGGGAGCTTCGTCAGGAACTGGGTTGAGAAGCCCCCAGCATGTGGTACGGAACATCGAACATCGTGCTCAATGACGCGCGGCACAACCACAAGTCCAGTCCGAGAGCCGTACAGCACCGCCACAACAGAACCTACGCAGAGCACCCAGCAGCACGGCCCCGCTGGAAAAAAAAAGGCCTCGTGACTCCGCCAGGCTTCTCTCGTGAACAAAGATGTAGCTGCATTATTACGTTTTGGAAGTTCAAGCTCCAGGCTGCCCTTTGTTTAAAAAAAAAAGAAACGCAGCAAATTACAAAGCAAGAGATTTTTAATTCAATAAAGCTAACCTCAGCCGTAACTCATGCGTGTCTTTTTCTGCGCTCCTCCGAGCGCTTGGAAGAGATACCGGGAGATCCTCCTGTGCTCGACTGTGCTGGTAGCGCTTAACCCACGATCTCTCAACTCACAATCTTAAGGCCACGGGTTAAATCGCCTGCCCGGGGTTGACTCGCCTCGTCTCCCGTCATTAAATCTGTTGAGTAGCTCCGGAACACATCCGAATATCAACAAACGCCCCCAGACTGCTTTTGGCTTGTGTACGGTACAACCGCAGCGTCAATATGAATACCGCACCCTGTTACTTTGCCAGTTGCCACCAGCGAGCCAGAACTTCTGCACATAAATGCAACAGAAATATGCTTTCCACATGTAGGTGGAACAGCACCACACCCGTTGTCAATCCACTACTGGACTCGGGCCTGCCAGAGTTTCCACTTCTTCCATAGACCAGACCTGCATATATTTCTCGGTCAGCTTAGACCTCTATCAAAACAGTGCAGTACACTGTACTGTACTGCAATAAACTGCAACTCAATGACCACCAGGTCAGTGCAGCGGTGTCATTTTTGCTGCGCTACCACCTGCTGAAAACGTAACCCCGCAGCAGCCTGCAACGGCAGGGACACGTGGCGACTGTGGAGAGGCGGGGAGAGAGGGCGGTTAGTACCCACCCCTGCCCCCTGGCTTGGAAGCACAATGTTTTTGCCAATCAAAAACTGTAAAAAAAACTTTTCTTTTGTTACCAGGTAAGGCCCACTGAGCTATATAGCTCTTTTTTTCAGAAGCTACCTGGCCACAAATGATAACTCAACGAAGTGGCTTATTACGTGGACAATTTATCGTAGCCAAATAGTCTAAACGCATGTTTCTAAATGTGGAGGGAAAGACCAGAGGTCCAGGAGAAAAATCCACGTGACCACGGGGCAGAACATGCAAACTCCAAATATACAGCATCGAACCCACGACCTCCTGCATACCAGGCGAGGTAGTTAACATCTCCTAGCCACCGCGGCGCCCAATGAGATCCCGCAGCTATGGCTTTGCAGCCCCCACACCGAGATCCGTGGATCTGCACAGGTCGCAAGGGTGCGTGTACCGCGAAGATGGTGCCCAAGGGGTTGACAAGACAGGAAGAAGAAACATTATTCTAAACATACTCTTTGGGTCTTTCGGTAAAGTCACGTAGGTAGAAAAATAATAGATCACGAGGTTTCGATCGCAACGCGAGCTATTTTTCTCGCTGCGGTTGCGATCGAAACGTCGCGATCTATTATTTTGTTCTACCCACGTGACTTTACCGAAAGAACCAAGGAGTGTCGATTCCTGCAGTCACGAAAGCGACAAATCAATCATTCTAAACAATTTGTTTTACGTGGGAAGGCCCACTAAGGACAATAGCAACAACCACAACCTCGGGAGCCTTATGGTGCCATGAATGAAAGCAAACGGCCAGACAGCAGAGACAGCAGTGTCAGCTTACTATACCATGTGGGCCAGATTCTAGATTTTATTCATCTTCCGTAAAATTAAACGCACGTGTGATGGGAGGCGGCTTTCTGAGCACGTGTCTGAGTTCGATTCCACGACTAACATCAGTGGCGAGTGGTATCTAAAGCGGTCCTGCGCCTTCTCTCGGTCGGCTCAGTATTAAACGATCACCTGGTGCGATGTGTAAACAGCACCACCGCCTGCCATGCCAGCACGAACCTTCGTAGGTGTTCGTGAACCACACTTGCACAACAGTTTATACAGCTGGAAGGGGATCTTTGTCTTTATAGCGCTGGGCAGTAGTGCAGCGGATTGTGCAGTGGTAGAGCAAGCAGTGTCTGGCCCTGTCGCAGTCCTCCGCTAGGTTGACTCAGCATTAATAAATTGCGTTATACAGTGTGTAAACATGTGTGGGGCTGGGCATAGCATATCTCGTGCACCATGCCGGTTGTCATAATCGGTGCTCATGAACCATCCCTGCTCAATTCGTCTGTATAGCTAAACAGGGGGCGTTTGTGAGTGTGTATGTGCGTAAATTGAATGCAGTGGTTCGCGGTGCACTGCGTGTGAGTAGATGTTGGAAGGGGTGGGACAGTGGTCCAGCACGTAACACTGTATGGTACAATTCCAGAAATCTCAGTTTGATTCCCAGCCACGGGCAACATCCAAAGAAAAGTGAAAAATATATATTAGAGTGAATGCTGGTGGGGGAGGGGGGGAAATGTTACATTTTTAAATCTGAGGAATGTGGTAATGATAGAAGGCTCTGTGTGATGGCAATAAAGTTATTCAAGCCTAGTCACACTTATAATTGTGGACGTGGCTGTGGTGGCAATAGGGGCCACATGTCGATGGAATGGTTTTGCACACTGGAATTGCAACCCAGAGGCCACCGCTTCCACGTTCTGGTGCTTCAGTTGAAACAGCACGGCAAGCTCCTGAATTCCCTTCTCATTGTCCGGCCAGCAGTATAAATGGGCGCAACCACAGTTACGTTGATTGGCAGGCCATTTGTGGTAGGGTAAAGTTTGTGGTAGGGTAAAATGTGGCAAGTACGCAAGAAGTGGGCCAAGTTAACTCCCTAGATGGGTATGGGTTGGAGGGGGGACAGAATGTGCATTTATAATCCTGAGAATATGATGATTGACTCATCAAATTCTCCAAATCGGTATGGGATATAGTCTTGCCCCCTTGCACGTGTGCTCCAGTTTCCTCCCACGTGTAAACATTGATGAATTTACCAAAAAAAACATCTTCTTTGGTTCTTTCGGTAAAGTCACGTAGAATGAGAATAAAATAATAAATTCATAAAATAAAATAACACAATAATAATAATATTTTATCAATTTATTATTTTATTCTCATTCTACGTGACTTTACCGAAAGAACCAAAGAAGATGAATCATTGCAGTCACGAAAGCTTTAAATCGAAATTAAAAAAAAAAACATCTCAATATATAGAGGACCGCAGAGCTTGGGCAATTGCTTGTGCTGAATTCACTACTTGGTGGCCACTGCCTTCCCGCTTGTCTGTGGTTTCTCCTCGCGCCTCTGTCTCTCGGCGAGAGCGAGCAAGTCCCGTGCTGTGGCAGCGGTGTTACAAGTTCACTATTTTATTATTATTATTTACTGTTGCAACGCAGAGCTGTGCAGGTACTGAGTGGGTGGCACACACTGTGATCAATGTTTTGCACGTGTCAAATATTTCCGGTGGGATACAAAGTCATTCATTTTGGGAAACGACACCGTTTGTGTAAAAAAAACAAAACTAATGAGAATGTCATCGTGTAATATTAAAATGTCTCTGGCATGAAACAAACATGAAATATTACTCATTATTGACTGACAATTGTATTCAATGAAAACGTTTCAAAAACGGTGGATGGCACCTAGCAGCCATCTGAAATGTCGCAAGGGAACGGGGACAACTGCCCCCCCCCCCCTCCCCCCCCCCATACTCCTCCTCCTCCTCCTCTCCTCCCCCTCTGAGTGCACTTCTGAGTACTGCGCGCACAGAGTGCAGGAGTACGCGGTACGTACAAAAGGTAGGAGAGATGGGATACAGCGGTGGCGGTGCTGCCAGCGGCGTTCACGCCGTGGCGAATCCTCGCCGCCCCTCCCAGCGCACCGCATCTTGGCGATCGCACTCCAGCAGCGTGCGGGACTTTCAACCGCGAGTCCTCGTGGAACAAAAATCAACAACGTGGGTAGACTTCAGTAATTGCAGGCTGGCGCTGGCTCTCCTCTCTGTGTGGGTGAGGCAGAGATAATTACATCTCCAACTTGTAGTGTGCTGCATGGCATTCGCTCACACTCAGAGTGAAGAACCACAGACAAGCGGGAAGTTACACCCTCCTTCACTAGCAGACGTCAAATTGGGCTTGCAAGAATCTATCGCAGTCCATCAAATTTGTGTTATTGTACGCATACAATTGATACATACACAATTGTTACACACACAATTTGTACGCACACAATTGTATCATCCTGATGTCACATTTAGGCGAATAGAACGAGCCGAACTGCATCGAGCAAGATATTAAATAGCCGATAAACGATATCAGAATCTAAATATTTATTATAATCAATCATCAAATTACGTCAACTGCCATGCCAGGATATCAGGTCGAACTGATGACTTCTGGATTGCAAATCCATTGTGCTCACCATTACACCACGGCCCTCACCGAAAGGTTTCCCTGAAGTCTTAGAATTCAAATCTTCCCGGCTCACTGCGAGTCCTTCACTCTCTCGCTTTTCATCTTCCTCTCTCTGAAGCCTCCTAAAAGCCTCTTAGCTTAAAACATTGGCTTCCTGCTCTCACGCGAAAAATACCATAGCTGAGACCACGTCCAGTTTGAACACGAGAGTGTGTGTGTGTGTGTTGCGTTGATCTTTGTTTTTTATGTTTAAAACAAACTGGTGCAGGATTTTTAGTATCCCCCAGCGAGCCCGACAAACCCCCTAACCCCACCAACATCACCCAGCTGCCAACACCGACCATCAGCCGTCCTCTATTTGAGGCTCAAGGTCTATTGATGAAAAACGAGACAGGCGATGAAAGCATGGAGGGGCGGGGGGGGGAACACAATTATCACATTGCACACAAGCGTAAGGCGACTTTTGCAAGAACAAGAAGAATCCGTGAACAATGCGATGCGGCTTCCCAACGTCCTCGCAAAACGCGTGTCAAATTAATATTCTTCATCGCACTTGGTGTAGTGGCGGGTGGTGAGATTCATAACTTAGAATAAATTGGTATTCGCCAATAGGCCAATATACATATTTAGACAGCTCCTGCAGTTCCCTACATTGCGTCTATTGATTGCTGTTATGAATCACGCGTTGCCTTTTGAGCAGTGTGTATAAAACGCCACACGGCTGCCTGCTTGGCACCGTAGTTTAGCAACTTGACGTGAATCGGTGATGACAATTGCTGACACGAACGTATAATTGGCCTTTAATCACGGTGATTGTGGTGCCTTCGTGTGAGATATCTTCAATTAGCCATGATCAATCCACTGCTGGATGAAGGCCACCCCCATGCAATTGGCGGATCCTGGGAATTCCGCGACAAGACAGGAGAAGCAACGCAGAAGTGCCGGAGAGAACGTTGCAATTAAGTGTTGCATTTGACGGGGAAAGAACGGCTGCTCTGGGTGAGACACACGGTGCCACAGGTAGGGGGCAGGGCCGGTTACCGGCACCGTCATTGGAGCGGTCCCCACAAATCTGGCTAACCGATGGGAAGAGCTCAGAACGGATGGCGGGACACTGTTCGGGCAAAATCTTGTTGACGTCACAAACCTTACTAATTGGCTGTGTCGGGTGGTGGTGGTGGTGGTGGGTTAACGACGGGTTTATATTGACGCGATCTAGCCAAAAAAAAAACCTTGATATGGATAATATTGGTCGCGAAAGTCGAATATGTGTCGAACCGATCTTGGACGTTGCGAGAAGTGGTTGCACCAGTTGGCTTTGGCCGTGGTGCCACCTCAATTGAATTGACTCCAACGAGCATGCGTCCCAGTTCGTGCCGAGACTGTGAGGACTTTAATCTCACACTCTCCTCTGGCCACTCCTTCGAAGGCTTCGTAAGATGCACGGCTCACAGCTGTTTTGTTGTGCATTCAAGGGAACATTGCAAAAAAAAAAGCATGCGTCTATTTAATGGTGTGAACACTTTCTCACCCATTAATTAGCCTATTTTATTTCATTAACGCGTGTGAAATGTTAATCCATTAATTATTTCGCGCATCACGAGAATTAAATGGCACTTGGAAATGTATTTATACCTCCAAAAAAATAACGAGCAACCACGCTCAATGCTGCGGCTTTTAAGCATTCTGTGCGTCGTGAAACTCATAACAACGCAATAAGGTTTTCTTTCATTAACACGGAATTAATTTCCCACTACGTGCAATTAATTTTGTTTATTAATTATCGGCCTCGTCCCTTTTAATATGTTAATAGTGTGTCATGTGGCATTATGCTTTCCATTCTGTGATCCACATTTGCATAATCCCAATGTCACAATTAATCCTGAACGCCGTCTCTCTCCGTTGCCCATTGTCACTCTCATTTTCCGCCGCGATGTAGCATTTGCGCTGGATATCACCTTTATTTTCAATATTGGAATATGTTTTTCCTCCCCCACGCAACAAAATGTTATGCCCACTGCGCTATTGGCACCATGTCATGAGATGATGAATCCCTTCGAAAATCTTGCAGCGCCGTGCAGACCCAGTGGGTCGGATATTTTTTGCTTCTAAGAACTTTTGCACAAACCTTCAAACGGACTGCTTTCATCACTTACTCAGTCCAAGTGGGGGGTCGCATGTTCCCGCACACTTTCAAATTGGTATTTTTTTTTCTGATCTCAGAGACAAAAACACAGCCAAAATAAAGTGAAATGGTCAATAGAACACGATTTTTTGTGTGCACTCGTTGGTGACTTGCCTGAGACCATCGACTCGCCACAATTGAGAAGCTGCTGAAATCAAAAGAAACGAACGCTGGACCACCGCGGCATCGCCTCCATGCTCTGAAACCCCTGGGCCAACACTTGGTTGTATGACAGCATCGCGTTCCAAATTTGCCAAATTTGAAAATGTTCCCTCCTTACTTGACCTAACTGGGAAAAAAATCACAGAGGAACACCATCCCCTGCCGGCAGGACTCTACCGTGTGTCAAACAAAATGGTGACGTCAAAAGGGACGGGTGGGCCGCTAGTTTGCTTTTAAAAAATAGCGTTCAATTCACCCTGCGATCTGCATTTCGACCGAAGCCAGCTGCAGAAAGTTAGGTATGTTGAGAACTCCTGAATAAATTCTGAGCCACCAACGCCCCAACTGCTTTTTGGCTTGGGTATGGTGTTTACCAGCCTAAATATGAACACTATACCCTTTTACTTTGTCAGGTGCCACCAGCGAACCAGACCCTTCTGCCTTCAAATGCGTTGGAAATGTGTTTTCCACATGTAAGTGTAACAGGCCTTCCTTTGTCAATCCACTGCTGGACAAGACCCTGCCAGAGTTTCGACCACTTCCATAATGTAGTCCAGTCCCGCACATATTTCTCAGTCAGCCTCGGCGAAAGCACCGTCGCGGCAGTCTTGCGCTATGAGAATCGTAGGAACGTGAAATGTACTTAATTATTGTTATTTGGGCTGGTCTACAGCAGCAGCGGACAACTCTTTTTTTGCATGAACAAACAGAGTGAGCTGCTCTTCCATTTAGCTCACTGTGCGTGGAGCGAAACGTCGGACACCGTGCCGAACCACGGAGGCTACAACTGGAAAACGCATCGGTGAGGGTCACAAGTGAAGCTGGTGAAGTTCCGGCTCTGAGAATTAAAACAAAAATCACTTTGACGACGACTTGGCAAAACTTTTCCTCTGCAGCAGGGCATGTGAGATAGTGCTCCCCGAACATCGTGTGTGGCTAAAATAAAAGGGCCACTTGAAGGAATGTCCGAAGAAGTTTCGCGATATCTCCTTCTAGGGTCTGTTCTCTAATATCGCGCCACGTCGTGTTCGGAATGGACACTTCGGTCTCACGCCAACAGCGCAACGCGAATAAAATTGTGGAATAAAAACGCTTTGCTTAAAAAAAGACAAATGCTCACTCAGCCCGCTCGCTCTCTCGCTCTCTCTCGTCTCTTTCTTTGCCGAGCGCTCTCGGAGTCATAAACCGCGTGCGGCGAATGGTTCCGTCACCGAGCCCGATGAGCATTTGTGCTCCCATTGGGAAATTACCGCCAGGGATGAGCGATCGCGGCTATAACCGCTCGCTTGCGTGCGGCAGAGGTTAACAGCCCGTGCCTCGGCGCACTGCGTTCATGTTGACAGCACACGCAAGCGTGCAGAACCCCAGTAAGTGTGTCTCCGCACTGGCTGTCGAATTCGCCCATTGAATATTGAAAGGTGAAGATCTGCAACCGCTTGCTCGCACGACACTGCCGGTGGAAGGGCTTCCGCTAAATGCGGCTTTAGCGAGCACCTCTAGCGGGGTGTTTGGCCTGCTCTTCCATGCTGGCCAGACGGCTTGGAGGAGGAGGTGGGAGCACCCACAAATTACGTCACCACGCGCGGCCTGCCGGTCGACTGACTTAGCTGCAGCGTACAGATCTGTACCGCTGCGCGGTGGACAGACGGCGTGGGGGATGATCGGGAAAACGTTCCCGTTGCTTCAGCTGCCATGCCTGGATGGAGACCCGACACCGGAGTTGCTCGGACTGCAAGCGCGGTGTGGTGACGATTATGCCGTGGCAGAGCAGTGTCGTAATTTATTTTCCCTTTTTCGAAATGTTAATAATGATAGCCGGGTCCTTCGCCGGAGACGAGCGGCAATTTGCGGCATAGTCAACCACGGCACCCCCCCGCCCACCCCCTCCAACTCACCCTTCAGTGCCTTAATGAAAAGGCGCCTTCCAATTTAGATGAAAGCGCGCCAGAATGGATTACCGCGGTTCATTTGGCCGCTTAATTCTCCGCGGGTTGCGCCTCATGAGCAGTTAGCGAGAGTGACCCCGAGCAGAGTGGACGTGGAATATAACGCAAAGAACTCCCAGACGGCGGTGGATCAAATAAAACTGATAAAGACAATTACGGGACAACGTGGCTTCATCATCATCATCATGATCTGCCTCATTATCACCATGAGACATCGTCTATCCACTGCTGGGTGAAAGCTCCCCTATGCCGTTGCCATACGTCTCACGGTCCTGCGACGCCACAGTTCACCTCACTCCCGTGCATGGACGCCTGGAGCTAGAATCGTTGATTAATCATTTACAGCCCTGTGTCAATCCACTGCTGGATAAAGGTATTCTCGTGCTGTGTCCTGCACGGCGGCTTGACAGATTGACCATATTTCACCCCACTGGTTATTGATGTGCTATAAATAAGGTTCCTATGTCGAAAACATCGCCTGTTATGTATTTTATTTTCGGATTGTATTTTCGTTTAAACGCAGCCCTATTGACGAGTGCGTTGAGTGTTTTGGTAACTGCGGGTTGGTGAAGGGTGGGTGGGGTGCCAGGAATGGTCCAGATAGCACTCACCACTGTTGTTAGACGTCGCCTGAATTGAACAGCGCTCGCCTGGTTCGTAATCACGACTCCACACTGGCAGTTCTTACAAGGCATCTAAATAGGAATGCATCTGAATGTAAACCAGAGCCGCATTCGTCATTAACACTGCCTCATAACTCACATATATACATACATGCACGATGAATATGCAAACATTTCTACAAATTAGCAACTCAGTTTCTCGCAAGAAATTCAGTAATCAAGAAGCCACTGTGACCAGGGGCCATAGCAGCAACGTGTACCAAAGATGTCTACCTACTAAATCATGTATGCGGCAAATAAGCGCGAATTGCTTAATGACCACATCAAGAAACGTTAACCCTCCAACCTACAAGTCCAGTGGGGTCTGGTCTGGACCCATGGGCTATGCAGGCTGGCATTTACTCTTCACAGTAACCCAAGCGAAGGGCAGCCTGGGAGATCATTAGTAGCAGAGAACCCCAGCCAGGAGGAGAGCCACAGTCAATCGATTCATCAACTGGAATCGAGTCTCACGCTCGGCAAAATATAAGCAATTAATATTCCGCAATAACAGCCGGCTATGCAGATAAATTAATGCGAATTATATGCAAAACGATCAAACGATTGATGCATACATAAACAACCCGTTATACGTGTACAATTCAGTTCCTGAAGAAACTCCATTGCACGTAGAGCGGAACGTCGGACATCGTGCCAAACAACAGCAGCACGAGGTAACTGCCAGAAAATCTATCGAAGGGCTGTGCACCAGCACAACCATGAAGATACCAGAGAAGATATACAGTGCAGGCTAACGTTACATTTACAACAGCGGCATAGGTGGAATGTGATTGGAAATGTGACCTCGTGCGCAGAATGAAGTTCAACTCCCAATATTTTCCCAACCACTTTGAAGCCAAGGGCCTTGGGCCCCTCTGACAAATGTGTACCCCGACGCAATTGCACCGCCTGCACACTCACTCGGTAGCTTCCGCACCTGATTTAACAGCTGAGGTCGTGGAGAAAATAAATCTAATTACACTGTGGACGAGACCAAAACAAAAGAGAGAACTCTACTCGTGGGACAACAGCAGGCTTCCCACAATGTGGAACCAATTTTAGTGACCCCCCCTCAGCCAGACAGGTGATGGTCTAAATTCACCCCTGGTTTGGCTACTGACAACAATGCTTGTTCATCGTACCCGGGGAAAATCCGAACACGTACAGTGATATCGAAGGACACTTTCTGAAAACTGGTTTGAAGATATAAAGACATGAGCATGAAGTGCTGGAAAATATACTGTTATAGCCATCCAAGATGCACTGTAGACACAGTTAGAATGAAACCAAGCAATGATAATGAGCAACAGGGTATGAAGGGAGGGCTGTACCATGGGGCTAGAGATAAACCAAGCCAAAGCAGTGGACAAGAAGCGCTCTCAACAAAGGGAACGAATCTTGAATTGAAGCTCTCGTGACTGCAGGAATAACTCTTTAGTTCTTTCGGTAAAGTCACGTAGAAAGAAAGAAAAAATAAAATAAATAATAGCTCACCAAGCTCGGAGAGAGACACATATACAGAGAGAGAGACAAACAACACAGAGTTGTTTGTCTCTCTCTCTCTCTGTGTGTGTCTCTAAGTTTTTCTTCCGCTTAAACAAAGCACCGGCCAACACCACACAAATTTCCAGTTTGCGAACCCCAGATGGACAAACGGCAACATCTGAGAGCGAGATCGCCAAGACCGCCAGGGATTTCTACTCACAACTTTTCGCCGCCGAAACCATACACGACGAGGCTGTCCGGGAGCTACTGGACGGGGGCCCTACCTTAGAAGTCCCCGAGCGGGATCGTCTGGACAGCCCCGTCACCCTGCAGGAGCTCCACACCGCTGTGAAAGGGCTCGCAGCTGGTAAAGCCCCGGGGATTGACGGCCTGCCGGTTGAGTTTTATGCGGCCTTCTGGGATGAGCTTAGCCCTCCACTACTACAATTGTTGACGGAGAGCCTGCAGAAGAGTGAACTCCCACAGAGCTGCAGGAGAGCGGTGGTCTCCCTGCTGCCGAAGAAGTGGGACCTGCGCCTCGTCGTCGAGAACTGGCGACCCGTGTCGCTCTTTGTGCGCTGACTACAAAATCTTCTCCAAGGTGCTGGCAAACCGTCTCAAGACAGTGCTGGGTCAGCTGATCCTGCCGGAACAGTCGCATTGCATCCCCGGACGGTGCATATACGACAACATCGGTACGGTCAGAGACGTAATCTCCCTTGCACAAGCACACAACATGGACTTAGGCCTCCTCTTCTTAGATCAGGAGAAGGCCTTAGACACAGGGTGAGCCACGAGTACTTGGACACACTCCTAACGTCGCTCGGCTTCGGCCAGGCCTTCATCTCGCACGTTAGGCTCCTGTACACGGGGGCACATCCAGCCTCTTGAAGATGAACCAGCGGCTCGGCGCCCCTTTCCCTGTGACGAGGGGGGTCAGACAGGGATGCCCTTTCTCGGGGCTGCTGTACACCCTGTCCATTGAGCCACTGCTACGCCACCTGAGACGAAATCTGTCTTGACCTCAAAGTCCTGGGACCTGAGAACGCGGTCATCAAGCTCTCGGCTTACGCAGACGACGACGTGATGCGTCGTCCTCAACGGCGCGCATGCCGTGTCCGCGCTCTGCCAGGTGGTTGCAGTGTACGAGAGGGCCTCCTCCGCCAGGGTCACCTGGCCCAAGTGCGAGGCCCCCTCTGTGTTTAGGGCCGCGAGGCGGCGTTCGCTCTGTGCTCCTCCCAGGAGGAGTCGTTGACGGGACAATGGAGTCAAGTACCTGGGGGTTTACCTGGGGAAACCACGTGACGTCGCTCTGAACAACTGGACCGAGCTGGCCGATACAATCGAGGCTAAATTACTGACATGGGCACCATGCCTCGCTTCGCAGATGTCATTCAGGGGCCGAGTGCTCATCGCTAATACCCTGGCTGCATCCGTGCTGTGGCACAAGACCAAGACCCTCCACCCTCCTGCTTGGCTACTCACCAGAGTCAACTGCTCATTCGCGCACTTCGTCTGGCATGGAAAGCACCGGCTCAGGCCGGGCGTTCTCTGCCTGCCGGTGGGCGAGGGCGGCCAGGGGCTGGTGGACATTGCCGCCAGGGTCATGAGTTTCAGGATCATGGCAGTTAGGCGGCTGCTGTACGACCAGGAGGAGCTACCCTGGAAGTCGCCGGCCCTCGCCCTGTTGAGGAATGCAGGGGGGTACCTGGGGTACGGAAAGGAGCTCTTCCTGATAGACCTGAGCCTGGTCGACTACACGAGGCTGCCAGGTTATCACCAGAGCCTCTTGGACATGTGGTGGAGCTTCGAATGGAGCAGAACGCGCGTGCCCTACGACCTCGCGCAGTTCCTGAACGAGCCCTTGTTCTGCAACGGCCAAGGGATCAGAGGAGAGAGGACCCTGGCTCAACGCCTCACATCAGCAGAGCTGCAGACAGTCTTCCACCTCGTGCAGGCCCACCAGCCCAAGTGGAAGACCGCAGCTGAGATCGCCAACACCGCAGGGCTCCGCTCCACGCTCGCTGGGGAGAAGCTGCTGCAGGACGTTGCTCCGTGCCATGAAGGATCTGCGCCTGAAGCTGGAGGCACTGGGGGATGGTGGCGGCCCTCCCTCCTCTTTCCCGGAGTTGTGCTTCTCTTGCGCACAGCCCCCTGGCCACAGCGACTCCGGCAGGCTACTGAAGCTCCGAGGCTGCAGGAACGTGGCCCTAAAGAGTGCCACAAACACAGCGCTCTACACGTGGCTGTGTCAAAGCGATGCATTGCCGGGACCTGGCCGACCTACCGGACACAAAATGGAGACGCCATTTCTCTCCCCTCATTGCGGCCGCCCCTCAGTGGAAACAAATGTACAAGTCTCCCGTAGTCAAACGCTGCGGTGACCTCCAGTGGAGGTTGGCACACTGCACATTGCCATCCGCCATGTGGCTCAGCCGAATCTCGCCAGGGGTAACAGACTTGTGCATTTCATGCGGTGCCAGGGAGGATCTGCCCCGCCAGTACTTACACTGCCAGCGGCTCAAACCAATGTTCTGCCTTTTGGGGGACATCTTCAGGAAACTGGGGGTACCCTTCTACAACAGCAGCTTCGTATATGGGGTGCCTTACCTGGCTAACAAGTGTCATAACCTCGCCAACTTCGCCTGTGCTCAGGCGAAGATGGCGGTGTACAGAACGAGAAAAAAGATGCTGCAAGGTGACACTGACGGCTGCTCTGTGCTGCTTCCAGTGTTCAGGGGCCTGCTTAAGGCGCGGCTCCAGCTGGA